CGGGACACAATTTACGGCCACCATCGGCCCAATACAAAAACCTTTATAAAATAAAACATGTGTCATTTTGGCTGACTAGAAATTTGTATGGGCTGAGTTTCTGAGGGCGATTAAATGGACACTAGGGATCGAGAGCTCAAATTACCGGTAGCTGCATGGGGGTGTACACAATACTGTTATATGTAACGTGTTGCACTCGCACCTATGCTTGATCAATATTGATGGAGAACTTTTAGCTAACCCATCCGCATTTTTTTTACTACAGCAGATTATATGGAGAACACCGGGGGCCGTCGCAATCTTACTTTAGGGGACTACAGGAAGAAGGATCGGGCATATGTGCAACTACCGCACGTTACATATAACAGAATTGTGTACACCCCCATGCAACTAATTTGAGCTCTCGATCCCTAGTGTCCATTTAATCGCCCTCAGAAACTCAGCCCTTACAAATTTCTAGTCAGCCAAAATGACACATGTTTTATTTTATATAGGTTTTTGTATTGGGCCGATGGTGGCCGTAAATTGTGTCCAGCCTGACAAATCTCTTTTTTGTATCTATAAAGTGCAAAACCGCGAGCGTTAGCACATCCTTGGCATGTTTTGCAACTTGTGTGAAAACAGCACCGTCAAATAATAAAAATTGACTGAGTTATGGGCACTCGACGAGGTGGCCGTATAATTGTGTCCAGGAGTGTATGTAGCCAGACTTTATTTATGTGGTTGTCAGTCAGTAAAATGGAGGCAGATACTGACTCACCGGGTCCTCCGTCGAGCAGAGAGACTACTGAAGTGCATTCTCCTCGGGTCACCTCTGCTGCACTAGCACCGAAAAAGCGCAGGAAGCACTACACGATCAGGGCTAAAAGGGTCGTGTTGTGTAAAGTAGAAGACTTATGTAAACGGGAGGCAGCGAGACAACAATGCGTTCCTCGTTTGACCTTAAATGGTTGGCGCAAAGACATTTGCAGTTACACTGGCAGCGAAAAAGGCTCTCACGTATCCCACGCCGTCGCGAGATAGTGCATTTTGAGAACGAGCTAGTGATTTTATGATACACTCGTAGTTACTGTGAAGTACTGACCGCAAAAGCAATGGCGGACTTCGTTCGCGATCAACACCCTTAGTGGCTCGACGACTACATCGAGGACAAGAAGAGCGTCACTACGGCATATGAGTCACTACTGAGGCTACTTCGACGCCTTCCCTACCGACACGGGGTTGTCCAGCGTACGCTAAGTGGCGTAAAGGTAAACATGTTCTTAAACTGTATTTGTGGTAATTAAAGTGTAATTTGTGCCGTTAAACTGCTCGTAATTTGTGTTTTTGATGCTTACTACCTGTAAATTGTGTTGTGGGAAAACCAGCATGACCTTTTAGCTGTTCGAGACGAGTTCGCGAAACCTTTCAGCACGAAATATGGTTCTTGGGATGCAAGTCTGGTCTACAATATTGATGAAACGGGAATCTACTACGACAGTTTTCCATCAAAGATGCTCTCGGAAAAAGGGTGAGCCAGTCTCCATCACCGCCGAGCAGAAGCATTCCGCCAGATTAACAGCGTTTTGCATAATTCACGCGGATGGTACGAAGTTGCCACTGTTGTTTATTGCTCGAGGTCAGCCGGGCCGCAAAATTGAGCAGGAAGAGCTCGATACTTATCCAAAATGAACGCAAAACGATGTATTTTATTAAAATTTTAGAGGTTGATTAAAAAAATGTACGTGCAAGCCACCTCTACACGGTTCAGAAGAGAGCGTGGATTGACTTACGTGTGTGTGAGCTATATCTACGAGGTTTACTCCCACAAAATATGTCAAAAGGGTCCATTCTCCTCGTATACAACATCGACTGTCACGTCTCAGCAGCTATGGTGCGCGATGAACTGCGTTCGACTCTACAAGCCAAAAAAAAAAATGCAACGTCGGTCTGCCAGCCCTTAGATGTGGGCATTATGGCCACTTGAAGGCCATGCTAAAGGAAAGAAGAAGAATGTAAAGAAAAAAAACGGCTAGCGACTATTAACTGAGCCATCAAAGCTTGGGAGATGGTCAATCCCATCGCGATCACGAAAGCATTTAACAAAGATGTCTAGCTAAGGCTTAGCAAAATACAGCAGCCTCTTTATTTCGCTGATAAGTTATTAATACATGTAATAAATGACGAAATCGTAGTCGACTTTCAAAACCTTCAAATCAAATGTGAAAAGTAAGAGCCAATCACTTAGCACCTGCAGGTGGCAGTCAGATTCTGGTTGCCGCTGTATCCAATCGAAAATATCCCACGCCCGCGAGATCGAGAACACGATCGTCTCAATCTTCTTCAACAGTGGAACCTTCTTTTCACTTAAAGCATCCCAATAGTCAATGGGACTATCGTTTTGCCACCACGCCTCTTTATGCTTTTAAAGGTCAGTATTCCACTATCAATTAGGGACGCAAGTGGTTGGTGTCGCAAACTGGAGCGCTCTGCCAATTTTACAAGCTTGACCTTCTTCTTTGCCGTCGTCTGAGCCAATAAAATCATCCAGATCTGTAGTTTGGGTCAACATGAAAGCGATTATCATGGCCTTTGTGTGCGCATAGTCCCACCGTTTTCTTGACTTCTCCTGGAAAAGAGAAGAAAGAAAATTTTGTAGTTCATCAAGTCGACATTTTCGTAGTTATCTCCGTCCTGCAACAATCCTTCCTCTGCTGCAGAGGGGGGGGGGCAAGGGGGGCAAAATGGTGTCGATGGCGTCGTCTGTGGTGAGAGTACCACCTGCCTCGTAGTTGTAGACTGCCGCAAATGTTGTTGAGATGGACTTGAATATGAAAATCCAGTACGAAACGGGCTGTAGCGAGGCGACCTTCTTAGTCATGAGCCAGATGGCGACTTGAACGTACTCGCTCCTGGGTATGCTGTACGCGGCACAGCTGGTGGTGATGCTGCTGGGAAGCTTGCCAGAGGCGGACCGCTGCCTAAAGCACAGGCAATGGTCATGTAGGGCGCTAATGCTTGTGGTAGCATAGATCCGCTAGACTACTGGATCTTAGACAGGTTTGGACGTTTTGAACCCTTCAGATCAGTTTAAAACATTTTGGATCATTTTAGACTTTCTTCACTCGTGCAATCCAGCCTTCTTGTGAGCCTAATCCATGCACGCGTGCTTTTTTCACGAAACTCAGGCATTCTAAATTTAGAAAACATTGTTTTGGTCTGATGAAATCGCTTTTAAAATATCTAAAGATTCTAAATTAAAATGGTACCATGTACCAGTATTCACGCCGGATTCTCAGGTCGTCAACAACGATCTTCATCAGGTGACCTTCACTCCGGATTCCGCATTCACCATGATGCTGCAGGTTTCCGCATCCGCGCGCCCCGTGCTGCGCCGCGCCTTCTCCTCTGCTGCTGGCTACGTGCAGGAAACTGTTATCCCGACGTACCACTTCCAGAAAAGCCTCACGCGCCTACCGATCCCCAAACTCGAGGACACGTTAACGCGCTATTTGGCCGCTGTGGAGCCCGTAGTGACGTCCGAACAGCTAACAGAGACCCGACGCGCTGTCTTGGACTTCCAGAATGGCGTGGGCCCCGAGCTACATCGTGCACTGGTGGCCCGCGACGCCGCCAACACGCACACGTCGTACATTAATCAGTGGTGGGTTGAAATGTACCTGGACGACCGTCAGCCGCTGCCCATCAACTATAACCCGCAGATTAAGCTCAAGATGGACCCTGTACCTGCCAAGAACTCGCAGAGTCAACGTGCTGCGTCACTGATTGCGTCATCCGTCAGAGTGTTCCGCACGCTACGTGACAAGAAGCTGGAGCCCGACATTTTCCACACTAAACCAGACACCAGCAAGACCAAAGCTTTCCAGTACTTCTGTAAGCTCCTACCGGAGAGTGTGAGTTTTTATGGAGCTGCTGCCTTGGGTGCTTATCCTCTGGATATGTCGCAGTACAAGAACCTGTTCTCCAGTACGAGACTGCCGAGGCTTGGACGGGATGAACTCAAGGTGACTCCTGGCTCCAAGCACGTGGTCGTGCAGAGAGGAACCAAGTTCTACACGTTCGATGTGCTCACAGCGGATGGCACAGCTGTGCCAGATGAGCAGATTCTGGCCAATGTGGAGGCTATATTGGCGGACCCCTTGACCAAGAGCACGCCAGACGAGCCTGGAATGGGCCTCATGACGACTATGAACCGCGATGCATGGACCAATGCCCGTGGGAAACTAGAAGCCAGTGGTGTTAACAAGGCGAGTCTAGAACAGATCGATAGTGCGCTGTTCGTCGTGTGTTTGGAGCACGAGTCCCCTGCAACGCCCGAGGAAGTGAGCAGCACGTTCCTCATGGGCGACGGCACCAATCACTGGTTCGACAAGAGCTTCCAGTTGATTATTGCTGCCAATGGCACAGCTTCCGTGAACTTTGAACACGCTTGGGGAGACGGCGTGGCCGTGCTGCGGTACCTCAATGAGTTGTACGGTGACAGCGTCAAGTACCCGGTGCTGAAGACGAGCAGCCAAGCAAAACCCAAGGAGCTTGCGTGGGAGATCAATGGAGAGACGAAGCAATTGCTGAATGAGGCCAAGAAGACGTACGACAAGTGGTCGTCCACGTTGCTGGTCGCGTGTGCGGAGACTCCAGTGACTCGTGCGGTTGGCAAACAGTACGACATCGGCACCGACGGGCTCATGCAAATGACCATCCAGCTGGCGCACTTCAAACTGCACCAGAAGTTTGTGGCCACGTACGAGAGTGCCAGTACCGCGGCATTTAAGCACGGACGCACCGAAACGGTGCGTAGTTGCACGAACAAAGCTGTGAATTTCGTGCAAACCATGACGAACGCTTCAGCTTCTGACGTCGAGAAGGTCGGAGCGCTGCGTGTGGCAGTCAAAAAGCACAGCGAGCTCACCAAGAACGGCGTTATGGGTCAGGGCTTCGACCGCCACCTTTTCGCACTGCGAGCCATGGCTGAACTGCAAGGAATGGACGTGCCAGAGTTCTATACACTACCAGCTCATGAGATTATGAGTAAGATCATCCTGTCCACTAGTACACTGTCCAGTCCGGCGCTTGAAGGTGGCAGCTTCGGTCCTGTTAACGAAGACTGCTACGGTATCGGCTACGGAATTGAAAAAGAAGGCTCTGCTTTCCAACTCTCCAGCTACCGCAAGGATCTGCCTCAACTCAAAGAACTCCTCGTGGACAGCCTCGTCGACCTTGAGCGCTTGCTGGCCGATACAACCCCCAAAAAGTGACCGGAACAGGAACGAACTGCCAGTAAGTGTTATTGTATTGAATTCAAGACACACTCATCTGCTCCACTTGTATCATTAGCTTCGTCGTATCACCGACGTCGCGGTTGCTTGGGACTACGAGGGCGACCAGCACTCGTAGGGCGTTCACCGCCTCCTGGTCGCTTGGTTCCAGCCATTGCGCCAGAGTTGGGTCCTCCAGGTCCTCCAGCACGACCCGTGCTCCGGTCTCTCCACGCCTGTGTGTTTCCTCCATCTGGTTGTCCTCTGTTTCTGTTGTCTCGTGCATTGTTGTCCCCTGCATTGTTGCGATCACTGCGTCGTTGAGGTTGTTGCTGTGCGTCTCGAGAGTTGTGGTGACTGCGACTACGTGAGGCGCCATCACGACCACGATGGTCGTTGTGATGCTGCGAGGGGCGAGGGCTGGCTGCTCCTGCGGCCTTACTGTCGGCTCCAGGCGCTCCGTCCTTTTTGTTTTTCCAAGGGATAGTTTCCTCTGCCAAGGGCTCCACAGTCTGCGTTCGGAAGGATACAGGCTCCTTGCCCGGCTCGTCAAAGGCCCAGTCCCGAGGCTCAGGCTCCTACTCAATAACCAAGTGGATGTTCGGTTAAACAAGACCGCGGAACAAACACACAAGACTACGTACAATCTCCTTGAAGTATTCGTGCTCGAGCGCTTCTTTAGCCGTGATACGTGTCTCAGGGTCTGCAGGTAGCAAAGAAGTTAGCACGAGGCAGTACATCGAGAGAGGCAAAGCAAGGGACTCACCATATTCCAGCAGTCTCGAAAGCAAATCGAGCAATGCAGCTCCTGCGCGGCCTGGACCAACTTTGACTGCGTTTTTGAGCTCAGATTGCGTCGGGTATTTGCGTTCACGACCCATCTGCACGACGTGATTGTACTCTGGCAGATTCTCCAGTCCCTCCCACGTCTGTGGCGTCGGCATGCCCAACACTTTAAAGATCTTATCGAGCTGATCTTTCTGGAACGGAGCATTGGACCCCTCCACTTCCTTACCGCAAAAGAGCTCGCGTGTGTTGATGAGCTCGACGAAAATGCAGCCCACTGCCCATAAGTCCACGGCTTTTGTATAATGCTTCGCCCCCAGTAGGAGCTCCGGTGCTCGATACCAGAGCGTCACCACCACACGCTCCACATCTGATAAGGCCTTGATCGGCTCCTTGAAGATACGCGCTAGACCAAAATCTAGTATAGTAGCAAGTCACATCTGAATGAGTACCCGGTCCACCAGCTTTTAAACAAGGATCTAAAGGCGCACCTCCTAGCTTGACTTGTCCCCTCTTGCGTCCATGACCCACCACCAAAATGTTCTGTGGTTTCATATCTCGGTGCATGACCCACACGTCGTGCATGTAGTCCACACCTTTGAGGATCTGGTACATGAGTGACTTACGCGTGTACTCGCCCAACGGCTTTTGTTTGCTCTGTACGATGATGTCGTGCAGGTCGTGGTCTCCATATTCGAATACGAGCGCCAGCGACTTGTCCCGAGGGTCCACGTGCACGTCATGTAGGTGCATCACATTGTCGTGATGCATTTCTCGCAGCAATTTGATCTCGCGAACAGTGGCGCTGGATAGCACCACGTCGTTCTTTCCTTCTTTGTGGGATTTAACCAGCTTGATGGCGAACGTCATGGGCTCTTCATCCTCGACGGCGTTCGAGCCGCCCGAGGTAGGACGTGGCAACAGAGCTGCAGAGTGAGACTCGGCCTTGAACACCATGCCATACGTGCCCTCGCCAATCTTGCCCAAGATGCGGTACTTGTCCGTCAAGCTCTCGGGCCGCCGCAACGCCGACCGCCGCATGCTGGATAAGAGTGAAAATGAGGTGATGTATGACACATGGAACTGACGTATTTCACATCAGCGTTGTGTCAAGTACACCACGTTGAATACCGAATTATCGTAGTCCTAGGGGACGTTTACCACCAACGAACCAACCAATCGGATCCTTCGATTGTAATACAGATGGCTCCATTACTTACGATAAGGTTCATTCTAATTTTACTTCGGCGGAAGCTAAAAGAACGGAGCCCAACACCACAAAGAAAACGGAAGGCCGTCGAAAAGTATGGTTCGCTTGCGCATCAATGGACCAGGAAAGAAGCGGAAGACCTATCAACGTAGGGCAGTAGAGTATGCGCATAAGAGAGACGTCCTCGACTACATTGACAGCGGTCACAGCCTTGACGAGACAATTTCACAGTTCTACGGCGACTTAAGTGGCTCCGACATTCGTGCTAAGAAAAAACAAATTCACAAGTGGAGCAAGCAGGCTCCAACTATACGTGCTGCATGTGATTCTGGGCGGGGGTGCCACCGAAATGTGCGCGGACTTGGTGAAGCGACTGTGCTCACCAAGGAGGCTGAACGCGCTATCGTAGTGTGGGTGAATTCGCTGCGGAAAGATGGTGCCCCTGTCTCCCGTCTCATGCTTCAACTGCAGGCAAAAGAAGCAGCTGCAGACATTGGCCTTGAAGGCAAATTTGCAGCCACATCAACATGGGTTAAGCTATTTCTTCGTCGCCATAAATTAGCGCTCCGTGCACGTACCAGGCAGGGACAGACGACGCCACAGGATGCTCAAGATGCAGCTACGACATTTCGAGCGCTGGTGCTGCAGACAATCGTCGAAAAGAAGTGTGTACAAGTATACAATGCTGATCAGACGGGTAATCTTTTTTTATTTTAGTTTTAAAATATTTTTATTGACTTTTCTTCTTGTAGGAGTGAATTTTGAGTATTTACCAAAACAAACCATATCTCAACGTGGAGTGAAAACTGTTTGGGTAGAATGTGCAAATAAAGAGAAGGCCCGAGCTACAGCTATGCTTTTGGCGGACTGGGAAGGCACAAAATTGGCTCCATTCATAGTGTTCAAGTGTCAACCGTCAAAAATTAAGGAGAAAAGGGAAGAGAACCACACTCTGCGCCATGGGTTTAGCCCGACTATGTGGACCCGTGAAATTAATCCACTTCAAGAGCGCTACAATTGTCAAATTTACGGGAACCAGTGCGCATGGTGGAATTCTGATTTGTCTCTGAGATTTCTCAAATATCACTTTGCTGAGCGCACGAACCGAGATGACCACATTTTACTCATATGGGACGATTTCAGCGGGCATTGGACCCCTGAAGTTGAAGAATATGCAGCGTCTATTAACGTTATCCTACTTAAAGTACCGCCGCGTTACACGTACGTATAGATATTTCGTGGAATAACCCCCTAAAAACTAGGTTGCGAGGTCTGTGGATCAACCGGCTGAGAGACCAACTTGTTGCGTATCGAGCCAAGAAGAAGCAGCGCCAGGAGATAAGGGACAAACTCCAGAGAGATATTATTCGTGTGCGCAAGGATCTAGTGCAAGAGGAAGCAGAGTCTGAAGTTGAGCGACTTCGGAAACATCATACAGAAAAGCCCTTTAAATTGGAGCCCCCAAAAAGAGAAGACATTACGGAGTGGATATCAAAATGCTGGAACGAGCTTTCAGAAAAGACAATTGTTAGTGGATTTGCAAAAGTAGGCATATTGGCTGATACTCGCCGTGCTGAGCAAGATTTTGACTCATATCCGGGACATATTGATAGCGAGCTTGTCCAAGAGCTGGAAAAATGCAATTTAACTGATGGTCATGTCGACTCTGACGATGATATAGAGTCTGAAGCTGGTACCGGTAGTGATAGCGGTAGCGAATGCTAAATACAGTAATTTGCAGTGAATGCTTCGGTAAAACTATGATTTGCATTCATATGTCGGTGCTCACGATTTGCATCCTTTGCTATTGAAGTGACGCCTAGGACTACGATAATTCGGTACAGCAAAGAAACGGTCTGGGTGGCTTTATTTCAAATTATTGGTTTTGAAAGGTCTGCTGAGTGTAGGTTCATCTGCTTAATTTCTTTGTTTGTGGTTGACTCCGCGAACGAAATGTCGCACCCATGTTTCGCGACCTGCACAGAATCAAATCGTAGAGGTGTTTTCAGACTCGCCTAATCGCATCGAAAACGCCACTTTACAACAAGCAACCGAAGAGCTCAAAGCGTAAATAACGTAATGAAGTACCTGGAGGAGCCCCAACTGTCGTGGCTCAACTCGGTGCTGGGCAGCTACGAGATCGGCGACCGCGTGCTCAATGGCAAGATCGAGACGTACTCGTGCAAGAAGGCAGGTAGCGACAAGCGCCTGGCCAAGAGCCTCGAGCTGTACTACCAGCAGGAGATCGAGGCGTCCGCCGACCTGCTAAGCTCGTCTCCTCTTGGGCCTATCGCCGCTCCAGCCACGCGGAAGCTGCTCATCAACCTCATCTCCACAATGAACGCCAGCTTCCCAGACTACGACTTCAGCGCCGTTAAACCCGAACAGTTCCGAAAGGAGCCGGACTTTCGGATAGCGCTGCAACGCATTAACCACGACTTGGCCGAGCTGTTGGAGGCTGAGGGTAACGGCTTCGTGGAGAAGATGTGGGAGGCTATCGCGGAGGCTATCAAGCTCGACGAGTGCGACGTGTACAGCTACATTCCGGACATGGACTCGGACCCGTTTTCGGACGGGAATCTGTGCGTATTTATGGATGTTAGGAACGGAGTTTCGTTATTTACGGATGTTGATCTGATATGCACTATTAGGTGGTCATTCAACTACTTTTTCTACAACAAGGTGCAGAAGAAAGTGCTGTACTTCACGTGTCTGTGCAAGGGGTGAGTATTAAAGTATTTTATCCTGAATATCGAGAAAAAGTATCCTGATTTTATTATTTTTTGTACGACTAGTTTAACGTACGAAAGTGATATGGACGACGAAACGATGGAGGAGCCAACCGCCATGGATGACGACGGAGAAGACGCAATGGAGGACTACTTTGGCATGTCTCCGGACTGGTATGACAAGGCTTCTAAGTTTTTTTTTTCGGAATTTGGATACTGATTTATTGATACACAGGGAGGACGGATCGTAATTTGTACGCACGCTGTGATTCAGTGTCTCCGCGTACACTATTGCCCTCTCACTGCAGCGCGCCTCATCTGCAGGAAGAGACGCCCTTGTTCTCTTCCTCCAAATCTCGTCGTGCGGTTTCGCTTTCTCTCTTTTCGGAGCTGACGATGGCAGCCACAAAGCAGCCGGAGGAGCGATCGCGGTCGTACTCCGCTGCTGTGCTTCAATGCTCTACTGTATTATTGGTTAATGTATGCTCGAATTTTGCGCTGCATGTTCGCGTAGTTAGCAGCGCTCAAAGTATTATCCATAGCATACCAGTAGTACTATAGTATTACCGATACGGAAGAGGTTCCCGAACAGAGAATGTGTTGGACACGCCTGCTACGCCACCCGGCGCGTGATTCTCTCGTTTAACCACTTGGAATCTCTTTGCCGACGTGCTGTTCGCTGTACTTGGCCTTGAACAAGGTGCACTAGCTACAGGAATATTGGAGGAGGATCCAACTGTAACTTGGGCTCGGAGCATCGACGCACGCGGAGAAAAAGACGAGCTAGGATGCTTGAGTACCGTCGGTCGATCCGGGGGTGTAGCTACACGAGGAGAAGCAGATTGAGATCTAGGAGGAGCCTGTTGCAGTCGAAAGTCTCGACGAAGTGATTGTTCGCCGACCGACGTGTCAGGCTGGATAGGCTCGTAATGTCGACATTGGGAAAGTTGTTCTGTAATATTTGCTTTCTCGCGGAGTTCTCGTGTAACTTGTTGCTGTAAGCGACGAATTTCATTCTGATAGTGACGTGTGGAGTTCAAATATTGCGTTTCCAGTTTCTGTCGCTCCTGTTTCCCCGTGTCAATGCTTGCTACAATTTGTGTGCGACCAGTACTGGTATCCATTGAACTCTCCGTGTCACTTTTGCCGTCAGGAACTGCACAGACTCGAGGAGAAATAGCTGGCAGATCGTCACAATCTGTACGATTGTGGGTTGCTGCTAGTCCGCGAACTTTTTCCTCGCGTCGTCTCTGAGTTGTCCCTTCCATCTCCTTGTGCACCGTCGTCCACTTCACCTGGTAGTACGTCTTTTCCTGGGACAATTTGGTCATATTCTGCTCCAGTTGTTTCACATAAATCTGCAATTGTTCCACCTCGTGTCGTAACAAACTCTCAGCTGTAGCGTATCTTTGCGAAAGTAACACTTCTCGTTCTTTGGCAGCTGTGTGCGTCTGTTGCTGCATATCTCCGAGTGCTTGGACCTTCACAAGTGCTTGCTTCATAGCAGCATTCTCGCTCCTAATCCTCACGACATCTTGTTGTCCACGTAGTAAATGGGACACCGAGTGTTTCGTAGTGGCAGGAAGGGTGCCAGAGTAGTCCAGAAGTTGATCCACGAACTGTGAGTGCGCTCCTTGTATCACTGTTTGAAGCTCGCGTTGCATCGTTGCGCGATACTCTGCGAACTTCTGCTGCTTGTCAAGAAGCTCAGCGTGCATCGCGTGTAGCTTCTCTTCGTACTCGGCGTTGAGTTCACAGCGCATCACTTGTCGATCCAGCTCTCTGTTTGCCTCCAGAACGTGCAGCTGTTTACGTAAGGCTTCCCCCTCAAAGTACAAACGATACGCGTGATCTGCAGCGAAAGCTTCGCGTCGAATACGCTCTTCATCTTTCTCTTTTTCCCATTGGGTTTCAATCTTCTCATGACTAGAAGAAGCTGCTTGAAATTGGTCGTACAATTGTTGTACGGACAAATTGTGGAGATCAAGCTGCTGTTTGTTGTGTGTCGTACACTTTTTGCAAACGTCA